AACGAATATCGCTAGCTGTTCGATAGCTTGTTTAGCTAGCGGATCGCTAGCTTATAAAGCTAGCGATCCTCGTGGCCAAATCGCTGTCTTAATCGTAACGAATATCGCTAACTATTCGCTAGCTTATAAAGCCAGCAATCCTCGTGGCCAAATCGCTGTCTTAATCGTAACAAATATCGCTTGCTATTCGCTAGCCGATTTCCCACCGGGAAACGTTAGAGTATAATAAGTTAGAGAGAAGAGTATAGACATCAAAAAGTTAGAGTATTTAATACCTTAAATACCTTAAGGTGGTTATCAGGTAAAAAAATTATTTTTTGATTGCCAACTTAATCATATACCAAAGTTAGTTTAAAAGAAACATACTTATTAATATAATTAAAAATGATAAAAAAAAAATAATTTCCTTTTTTTTTTTTGCTGAATCAGCATAAAATGCAAAAAAATCAATGAAAAAAGAAAACAACATTTTCTCAGCCTCTTTATGACATTATAAGCCAAAACTTACAACACTGATAGATTATAGTGTATTAAACAAAAGCTTACTAGAAAAACTAAAAATAATTATTATTTTTAAAATGGCAGCTTTTTCAATTTTAACGGAAATTATTGATACAAAAAAAAAAGATAAAATATGAATATATTCAAATGGAAACAAGCTTAAGATTAGTTCTAGTAAGCTATTGCAGTTCTATCTATAAAGAAACAACCCTGAAAATTTGAACTCAATTGCATATCTGGTTAAAAAGATATGAATGATTCGCTTATTGCAGTCAGGCAAAAACAAACAATTGAGAAATCAAGCTTCAAAGTTTAAAAACAATTTATTAATTAAAAATTTCCTGTAATATAAGAGTCTACTCCCTCTTTTTCTTTCTCCTTATCAATATAACCCTTCCTGATACATCTCCTTTTCCTTCTAGCCCTTTTTTGCTTTGGAGTTGAATTTTTAATCGTGTTCTTTACTCTTGATACGTCCTTCTTCCACGATCCTTGGATCATAAAACTTCCAGGCAAGAGCTGCAAATAATCAAAAATTCTTGTGAAACCTCTCAAACCATCATTGTAATTTATTACAGCTGAAGCAACACCAAGATCTAGTACCTTTTTAGTAACAAAAATATTTTTTGGACACTTTTTCCAGATTATCTGGTTGAAAGCCTCATTTGGATTTTGTGTTGCGCCATCCAGGCATCTTGATAACAAATCATCTGACCGTAGTGCCAAGAATGTGTCTTTAAGAACACTTTTAATAGCAAGAGGCAAATTAATTGATGGTTTATAATTTTTGTCATTCTGCCAATACTTGCACCAGCTTTTCTTTGTACGTGGACAAAATTGATGTCTCTCTTCGCTGTTGCTTATATTCGAGCAATGCCACAATACAGCCAAAACAGATTTTTTCATATTGTACAAGGCTATAGTACGGTCTCCACTCCATGCTTCTAAGGTATTTTGCCTAATGCTCATGCCATAAAAATTTTGCATTTTATTAATGATCTTATCTGTCAACCTTCCTTTCCCTGATATAATTTTCCCATCTTCTAACTTTTTTTCTTTGCCATAATAAAACTTTTTTTAACAACTTTAAACTTTTTTCTTTCTGCTTAACAAATAACATCAAAACATACGGCTTTGCTAAAAATAACTCTGGTTCAAAAGTTTAGTTAATTATACAGACCCATGAAAAGAAATAATTGTTTAAATCTAGGTCTTTGGGTAATATATCTATAAAAAATTATTGGTTGCTATGCGGTTGTTATCTAAATTTTTTTTACTCTTACCAACTAAAACAATTTTTTTACATTTTTTTATTAATTAACCCATATCATGTTATATATGGTTAAAAAGCCAATTAAATTTTAAACAAAGTTGGCTGATAAACTAAAAAACACATTTTTTTACAAAAATCGCTATTTTTTTACCTGATAACCACCTTAAATTAAAATAATAAATACCTTATAAAAGTATAACATAATTATACTTTTAAAAATTTTACTTTTAGTAAGTATTTAAAAAGTACTTAATAAATATACTAGTTATTAGTTAGTATATTTATTGAATAATTTATTAAATTTCAAATTCACCTCGTATTTTAATTTATAAACAAAACATTTTAGCACATGACAATGTATGTGCTAAAATGCATATGCAGTTTATGTAAATTTTGATAAAATGTAATGTGCTTGATTCTAGCACATATAAACATTCTAGCCTAGAATGTTATGTTCATAAATTCAAAATTACATTTTTTGAAAGTCTCGAAAAACTTAATTTAGTTAAAAAAGTTTTGATCGAACTATGCTGCATGACAGCAATATATTGTTTTATAGCAAAATAATACTAAACTTTACAAAACAAATGTTCACTGTTTTATTAGCTGTTTTTCCCTCAATATTTGAAGAATTTTAATTTGATTAAAAAAAAGTTTATGAACGAAAATACACCACTACCATACATAATATAATCTCTTTTTTTATATTTTGACGTATCACATTTACACATTTATATAATCTTTTAAAAAAATATTTTTACGCATCACATAAAATGGTTGCTTCCTCGAACAATTTATAATAAAATCCATAATGGTTTCTGGACCTTCTTTTTACCGATAACATAACTAACAACAAACTCTTAAATAGACCCCACCCATGATACATTATATGATCTAAAAATTTACGCATGGGTTCCTTATATGCACATCTCAATTTCCAGTTTACGACTCATATCTTCTGGTAACGCGTGTCGTTAATATATTTGTACTTACTTTAAAAACATAGATTTTGATGGTTATTTTGCCTGAAACTAATATATAACTTTAATTTAGACATATAGTTGTAAACTGAAATTTGAGATCCTTTAGAAAACTATCTTTATAAGTAATAATATTAATAGTTAGGGACGTCATCATTTCGTCTATTTAGCTGGTTACTTCTAACTTTAGCTTTAGTTTTAAAAGAAATTAAATTTCAATTTCAATATATTATCTTTTTAATTTCTATATTATTTTTTTAAAGCAGATTTTATAAAAAAAAGAATGGCTTATGTTTAAACTTTATTTTCTTTTTAACAAAATATATGTAAATGATGCATTTATAGACCTATTTTAATGTTAAAAATTGTAATTTTTTGGGATTTTTTTCTAAAAAAGTTATTATTGACGGACGTTTTGGAATAAGTTTCGATAAACTTTTGTATTTCTTTTAAAAAGCAGTTGGAAAAAATCGATCAAAAATAGCCACCGTAAAGGAAAAAGTACAGAAAAGGTCAGCGTGGAATAGAATAGTTATGATTAAAATTTGATCGGACAGTGATAAATTTCAACAACATTAGATAACCTTCTGATGGTCCGGAAAACAAAAATTCTTTTTTTAAACGATTTTTTATTAAAATCCATAGGTACCAAAAAAATATCCCGGGATCCCAGAAAAAGTTTCCGTGGATTTCGGAATTTCGGTTTATTATTTTTCCCGGAAATTTTCCGGGAACAACAATCCCTACTGTCGAGGTATGTCATCTGACCTAAGACACGCTTCGAAAAAGCTTTCGCAGTAATAGTTCGATAAGTTAACATTAGGAATAGATAAGTATGCCTCACGCATTCTTTTAATTAGTTCATTTCTTTCAGTTGGGGCCGTATTTCTTCGCACGTTAATCTTAAAATAAAAAAAAATCTCTTCACATGGATTCAAGAATGGTGAATCTGGTGACAAATATTTTATTTGAATGTTCTGAGCTCTCATCTCGACTTTATGATTCTTTTGGAAAACGAAATTTTATGACATAAAGATTCAAATTCAGTTTTTTGCGGCAATGAAGTTTCAGATTGAACTTTTCTTTGATCAACGACCGATCTCAAAACAAATTTTTGCATATTTTGGCAAACAGAATTTTGCTGCATGTTTTAATGAAAATCTAATATGCACATGCGCTAAATGTTTTAATAGGAAATCATGGTTGTTTTAATTATAATCATGCATGTTTTAAACGTCATGGTTGTTTTGCCAATACAGTATGTGTATAAAAAATATGTACCGTTTTTGCATCCATTTAAAACAAACATGAAGTCCATTTAAATTTAAAATAAACTCCTTGAAATTAAAATAAATGAATATAATATTATTAAAAATAAATTTAAAGAATATTTAATAAATAATATAAAAATAAAAATTTTTTTTTAGTAATGTAAAAAAATAATTTAAAAAATAATATGGAATGTTTAGATTGCACATGCGTTAAATGTTTTAATTAAAAATCACGATTGTTTTAATTGATTGTCAAGATGTTTTAAATGAGCAAAAATAATTGTTTAAATGGATGCAAAAACCGTTAACGTTTAAATCTAATATTTCAGCATTAATTTTTTTATACCGTTAGAATCATCAGAAACTGAAGAAAATAGTTAGCTAATAACATTATTGAAATAAAATTACTCAAAAAAAATGTAATTTATCAAAATTTTAAGTGTTTCTGAATCACTGTGCAATGTCTTAATATTGATAAAAACGCATTTTCAATTTTAAGTATTACCATTTAAAGTCTAAACAATTTTATTTAGATTTTGAAAATTTAAAAATGTGATTGAATAAAATAAAATATAATTTTAGCATTATTTGTCTAACAAAAACGTGGTATAAATGCGATGAAAAAAGTTAACATTTTGATTTAATTGAATAAACGTCAGTTCATTAACTGCGTGATAACGGTAACGGTCGCGGAGGCTTAAGTATTTTTTTTTCACAACTCACTCATAATAACCAAAGCTTAATGATTGCGCACTGAACTTTTTTAGTAAAACCACAAAAAATGTAGTCGTTAATGCTATTTTTAGAAAACCACCTTAAAAAAAATGTTCAATATTTATTTAAGTCATTCTTAACAAAAAACGGAAGCATGTTTAAATTTTCGGCGAAATCCATTTGAATTTGTTAAGACGCGCTTCAATTAAAGTTAAACATTTTGAAGAGAATGTTTTTTCCAAATATAAATAATCCAACCAAAAATAATTAATAATTTTTCTAATTTACTAGATAATATAATCGCAACAAAATAACAATAACTTTCACTGGTATAATTAAAATAGGCTTATCATCTTCCAACTTTTTTAATAACTAACAATATAACAATTAATAATACATCTTCTCAATCTGTAATATACAGGCGGCAGATTAATAAAAACTCCTTACAAAAATTCCAAAACCTTAAAAAATATTATATAGATTGGGATCTTATAATGAAATCGAGTGAGGCAAACAATTGGAATTATTTATTTAGTTTTTTTTCTAAGCAATATAAAGAAGCATTTCCTGAGAAAAAAACTTTTTAAAAATAACAATTCATCTCTAATTCCTTGGATGTCTAAAGCTTATTAAAATCCTCAAGTAAAAAAAATAGTTGTATGAAAAGTTTAAAAAAAAAAAACTTTGAAAATAAAACAAACTGCAAATTTTATAAAAATATATTTGAAAAAACTAAACAACACTCAAAAAAATTTTACTATTTAAAGCTGATAGAAAAAATTAACGGAAATGCCAAACAGACGTTGAGCGTAATTTAAAAAATTATCGCTAAAAACAATAATGGAATAAGTATTCAGCTAGGTTTTGATAATATTAACATTAATGTTGTAAAATCAGTTCTTCATATTATAATAATCTCTTTACATCACATCATAGAAAAATTTCAAACTGTTGTAAAAACTTATAACGTATATATTATTATACAATTGTATGGACAAGACTCGAGATAATTAGTCGGAGTTGATTAGCCATTTATGGCATAAAGTGCGATCGGCATATAGCTCGTACTGTTGCTTTTTTTATACGAATTTCCATATCTACGCACATACAGTAACTTTTATTATTTAAATCTTTTGAGGTTCTGCCGCATCTGTTGTAAATAGTAGAAAAGTAGGTATTAGTTAAATAAAAGATATAGCTATGCCATTTCATATTTCATCAAACTCGGGTTAATTATATAAAGTCCTTTATCGGAATATGTTTTCCCTAGATTATTGAAAGAAGCAGCAACATCCAAATGAAGTTCATCTTGGTAGATAAGTTTTTTCATCTTTAGACTCTCCTCAGTGTACTTAATCGCCTGATCATATAGTCCTTTATTTCTACACACTTCTCCTAGCTTATTGAAAGAAGCAGCAACATCCAGATGAGGTTCATCTTGGTAGATAAGTTTGTTCATCTTTAGACTTTCCTCATAAAACTTAATCGCCTGATCATTTAGTCCTTTATTTTTATACACTTCTCCTAGATTATTGAAAGAAGCAGCAACATCCAGATGAGGTTCATCTTGGTAGATAAGTTTGTTCATCTTTAGACTTTCCTCATAGAACTTAATCGCCTGATCATTTAGTCCTTTATTTCTATACACTTCTCCTAGATTATTGAAAGAAGCAGCAACATCCAGATGAGGTTCATCTTGGTAGATAAGTTTGTTTATCTTTAGACTCTCCTCATAGAACTTACTCGCCTGATCATTTAGTCCTTTATTTCTATACACTTCTCCTAGATTATTGAAAGAAGCAGCAACACACGGATGAGGTTTATCTTGGTAGATAAGTTTGTTCATCTTTAGGTTCTCCTCATAGTACTTAATCGCCTGATTATATAGTCCTTTATTTCTATACACTTCTCCTAGATTACTGAAAGAAGCAGCAAGACACGGATGAGGTTGATCATGGTAGATGAGTTTGTTCATCTTTAGACTCTCCTCATAGAACTTAATCGCCTTATCATATAGTCCTTTATTTATATACACTTCTCCTAGATTATTGAAAGAAGCAGCAACACACGGATGAGGTTTATCTTGGTAGATAAGTTTGTTCATCTTTAGGTTCTCCTCATAGTACTTAATCGCCTGATCATATAGTCCTTTATTTCTATACACTTTCCCTAGATTATTGAAAGAAGCAGCAACACACGGATGAGGTTCATCTTGGTAGATAAGTTTGTTCATGTTTAGGTTCTCCTCATAGTACTTAATCGCCTTATCATATAGTCCTATATTTCTATACACTTCTCCTAGGTTATTGAAAGAAGCAGCAACATCCAGATGAGGTTCATCTTGGTAGATAAGTTTGTTTATCTTTAGGCTCTCCTCATAGCACTTAATTGCCTGATCATATAGTCTTTTATTTCTGTACACTTCTGCTAGATTATTGAAAGAAGCAGCAACACACAGATGAGGTTCATCTTGGTAGATGAGTTTTATCATATTTAGGCTCTCCTCATAGTACTTAATCGCCTGATCATGTTGTCCTATATCGGAATAAGCTTTTCCTAGATTATTGAAAGAAGCAGCAACATCTGGATGAGGTTTATCTTGGTAAATGAGTTTTTTCATCTTTAGGCTCTCCTGATAGTACTTAATCGCCTGATCATATAGTCCTTTATTTCTATACACTTCTCCTAGATTACTGAAAGAAGCAGCAACAGACGGATGAGGTTTATTTTGGTAGATGAGTTTGTTCATCTTTACACTCTCCTCAAAGTACTTAATCGCCTGATCATATTGTCTGTTAGCTTTATAAGTTAACCCAAGATTATTGCAAGAAGCAGCAACATCCAGATGAGGTTCATCTTGGTAGATGCGTTTATAAATATTTAAACAATACTGGAATTGCTCTATAGCTTGTTTGTTATTGCCAAAACCCATATATATATTTCCCAAAGTGTGTCGTATTTTCAAGTTATCTTTATTATGTGGATCATCTAACGCTTTCTCAAAATTGCTTTGAGCTTTCTTATATTGTGCTAATCTATAATGGATAAAACCCTTACTAATTACATTATCCTTATAAAAGTTACTTTTCTTAAAAAAAATTTGTCTATTTTCTTTACTTAATGTTTGATATTGGCGACAAAATTTCTCTAATTTTCTATGCAATGGCAGAGCAGTATAAAAATATTGAAACAACCTACCATGTTCTTCTAAATCTTCCTCAGATAAATGGAATATCTGTTTAAGTTGTTCTTTGAGTTCAGATTCAGTTTTAGCTGGTCTAGAAAATATCGACATATCCTCCTTCTGTGCCTTATGGTGAGCATAAGTCTTTAATCTAAGGGTAGTGGCAAAAGTTATAGCATTTTTCAGATTAAGTGCTGATTGTGCAGTGATTATTTCTTGATATCTTAACTTATCTACTGTATCCCAAGCACTATCTCCTTCAATACCATAATACAAACCAAGATTATATACCATATGATCAGGAAATCGGTAAATTTCATGCTTAACGTCAAACAATCTGCCCTTTGCCATCATTAAATTAGGTTGTAAATGATAAAAATCACCTTTAACTATATTTTCTTTAGGTTTAGAGCCAAATATTTGTGAATTATAGTCAATTTCTACTAAACCTTCCTTTAGTAACTTCAAGGCTCTTATCTGACAATTTAATTTATCTTGTGTATCATCTACATTTCTGTTTAAAAACTCTGTTACGTTATTTTGATAAACTCGTACTATTTGTTTATCACCATGTACATGACAAACTTTTTGTAATATATATGGCAGATTTTTATCTATATGACTTACCCAATTTTGCTCATTACGCACATAAGCTATCATCCCATATACTGTTTGTACTAAATCATATTTTTTATGCTGATTTATTCTGCCAAGTGGAGTTTTCCCTCCTAAATCCAAGTTTACTGCTCTATGTACTAAGCGGCTCATATCTAAACCATATCTACTAATTGGAATTATGCTTTCTCCTAAATTGATTACTTTAAAATTCACCAAATGGCTTAGGTTTTTGAAATATTCCCTAATATTAGGATTATCGCTTTTTTTATAATCTTCATTCTCGGTAAGGATAGCAAATTCTAAATCTGAATATGGTGTCATTTGCTTAATTGCCATTGATCCCAAAGCAATTACTGCATATTTACAAGGTGTCTGTATAACCATTTCTTTCTCACTATCGTTGTATAGTTTCGCTAGAAATTCTTGCATTTTATCAGCTATTGACTCAAAAATCTTTTTTGATTTTTCTACATATAATTCCTGGTTGTGCTGTTTTCCCTCTTGAGTACTAAATTTTTGTTGACTATAGTCTTCTATTTCCTGTAGTCTGTCCTTGGTTTCTTTTCGTATTATTGATAATATATTTTTATTATTGTCTGACTCAACTTTAACGTTTGTAACGGATATTTGAAACTGACTCCCACCAATAGCAGAAAATATTAACTGTTGTATGTGAGCTAATTGTTCATACGGATACGATTTTTCATATTTGATAAATTCATTTAAAATTTTTTCTAATGCTCTATTTTTTTCATCCATTATAGTAATAACATATTGGTAGAATACTGCAGCATCTGTGTAATATTTTATTTCGCCGATTAACTCTCCTAACTTTGTAGTTAAATACCCTAAATCTGTCAGGACTAATACTAATTCCATTAGCTCTTTTTGAGTTTTCTTACAAGCTAGTTGTTTGATAAATGGTTTATAGTGTTCTGCCTCTATTTGCTTTAGTTGAGCAATTTTATCTGTGTCACTTATATCTTTTGAACTTACTATCTGTTCTACTTTTCCTCGTATTTGTTCTATTGTATCATCTGCCATAATTTGTCTTGTATTGGTAAAAGGAATTGGTTGGGTGGTTATTGATGTCACCTGTAAACCACTTTCTTCTTTTCTCTATTGTAAAGCGGTATTGAGTACAGCAAAGTTTTCCTGTGATAACTCGCCCCACCGTAAGGGTTGTGAGTGTATATTACTACTGTTTATTATTTTTTATGTGATGCTAAATGAAAAATAATTTCATAAATTAAGTAATATATATATATATATATATATATATATATATATATATATATACTTGATCTTGTTTCATTAATTAGATATAAAAACCAAACATTGCACACTTTACTTTTTTACAAATAGCATATTTTATTTCTAAATATATCCAAAAAAATCTTCAGGGTGGGGGAGGGACCAAGCCACTTTTTTTTTGGGGAAACTTATAGTTACACCTCAGCATCGAATACTAAACAACTTTGTATTCAATGATAGTTTATTTTTTTTAATACATTACTTGACTTTAAAGAACATTTATTAACACTGTGCTCAATTGTTAGAAAAAGAATGTCACATGCAAGGCATTAAAAATTGTTTACTTTCAATTTATAATGTTGAAACTTTTGAATGCAAGCGCTTATTAAATGGAGTCCATTTAAATCTTAGTTAGATCAAGGGCGTATAAATGATTCACATCTATTCATAGTCTTTGATCAGATTGATTAAATGACAAATTTTTCAAACAATGCGTATTTTAGTAACATTTCGTATTTTAGTAACATGTTTTATCAATTTTTTTAAACATAAATAATTCAAATTATTAAAACTTTGAACAAAAACACAAGTAAATAAATTATTGTTTAGAAATTTAGGATATTTCATTGTCATACTTTTATATACTCTAAAGGATCGATGATCTGCAGCCGTATTCACATCTCTGTGTTAACCTTAACAGAGTTTTTGTTTTTATTTAATTAAGCTTACTTTAAAAGAAACATTTAAAGTTAAATATAATAAGATCCCTAAACAGTAGTAATCGCTTTGACTCATTCTTAAATTGTTCTAAAGTAGTCTTGTTTTTGTTGACAATATCTGGGAAGTTTTTCCACATATAAGGTTCGCGATATTTATTTGAATAGGAAATTAATTTTAAATTATATTTGAGAAGAACAATGTTGTAATCTGAAAACCTTGCTGAATATGATTAATTTTACTAAAATAAGATTGAACAATTTTTGGCAACAACCCTATTTTTGTTTTAAGCATAAAAGTTTGGTGTAAATTGAGAAATTTGGTAACTAATATATAAATATATATATATATATATATATATACATATATATATATATATATATATATATATATATATATATATATATATATATATGTATGTATATAAATATATATATATATATATACATATATATATATATATATATATATATATATATATATATATATATATATATATATATATATATATATATATATATATATATATATATATAAATATATAAATATAATTATATATATATATATATATATATATATATATATATATATATATATATATATATATATATATATATATATATATATATATATATAAATCAGGGGTGGATTTAGCCTTTTTTGGTCTTTGAGATAGCTAACTTCCAGACATGGAGCAAACTCCAAACATTTATATGTTCATACTAATGTCAAATAATGTTTTTCAAAAAATTCAATATGAGGGGGTTGCAAAATCAATATGGTCATAATTTCAATCAAAATCAATCATTGCAAAGTATCATTATTTGACAAAAGTATAAACATATAAATGTTTGGAGTTTGCTCCATGTCTGGAAGTTAAGCACCAAAAATACTGGTGCTTGAAAAAATGTGAATACAAAAAATATATTATTTACTAAATTTAAGTCATACAGAAATAAAATTAGCAATTTGTTAAGGTATTCTAAAAAATTGTTCTATGCATCTTTTTTCAATAACAACATCAATAATGTAAAGAATACCTGGAAAGGAATTAAGGAAATCATAAACATCAAACCATCTACTTCTACTAAGTCTTTTAACCTCAAAATCAATGAAAATGTCATCTCAGATCATACCAGTGTTGCTAATATATTTAATATTTATTTTACAACTATTCAAGACGAACTACTTAAAAATACTGTTCCCTCTAAATGTGCTTTTGGCAACTTTCTTAAAATACCTAGTATTAATTTTTTTTTCATTGAGCCCGTGACTGAAAATGAGGTGGCAAATCTCATAAAAGATACTCTTAAAAATAGTAAAAGCCTTGGTCCCAATAGTCTGCCAACATTTTTACTAAAGCTGGTATCTCACATAATCTCCAAACCTCTATGTACTATGATGAATAATTCTTTCAAAAATGGTATTTTTCCAGAAGCTTTTAAGGTAGCCAAAGTAATTCCTATACACATGAATTACTTGTGTAATTCATGTGTATAGGAATTACTTTGGCTACCTTAAATGAATGGGCTCTTATCTAGACTACTCTAATTATCGACCTATTTCACTTCTTTCTAACTTAAGTAAACTATTTGAAAAAACAATGTTCCAAAGACTCGAGCATTTTTTGGAAAAACATAAATTTATTTACAAACACCAGTATGGTTTTCGCAACAAACACTCAACAACTCATTCATTAATAGAAATAACAGAGAAAATTAGACAAGCCATCGATAGTAAACACTTTGCGTGTGGAGTGTTTATTGACATAAGAAAAGCATTTGATACAGTTGAGCACACAGTCTCTTAGAAAAATTGAAACACTACGGTATAAGAGGTATTCCTTTTTTCTCATTTTCCTCTTATCTTTGTAATAGAACACACTTTGTTTCAATTAATGCTATCAACTCAGGACTAGCTAAATCTTTTAATGGTGCTCCGTAAGGCTCGGTTTTAGGTCTATTACTTTTTCTTATCTTTATCAATGATTTAAATGTTTCTCTGAAATTTTCTACTGCTTATCACTTCGCGGATGACACCAACTTACTCCTAATTAATAAATCACTTAAAAAACTTAACAAAAATATGAATCACGATCTAGCTAATGTTGTTCAATGGCTCCGCTCTAATAAATTATCTCTAAACTCTAAAAAAACGGAAATTATTATATTTAAATCTGCTAAAACAAAAATAAATAAGCAATTAAATTTCAGATTAAGTGGCCAAAAAGTAAATCCAGTTAACCCTATTAAATATCTTGGAATCAAAATAGACTCTAATTTATCTTTTGCATCGCATCTTCAAGACTTAGCATTGAAATTAAGCAGATCAAATGGTATTTTAGCTAAAATTTGTCATTTTGTTAACAATAAAACTTTGCTTAATTTATATCATGCTATTTTTCACTCTCATCTCAGATATGCTTGCCAAGTTTGGGGACAATCTAAGCAGCATGCTTTTTTAAGACTAACTTATCTCCAAAACAAAGCTCTAAAATTAATTTACTTTCAACATACTAATTCGAACTGTAGCATACTCTATTTTTTATCTAAAGTCCTTAAATTGTGTGACCTTATTCAGCTATCAAATTGTCTATTTGTTTGGAACCAAAATCATAATAACTTACCTCTTACATTTATCAACTTTTTTAGTTATAGGGAAAACTGTAAATATATTCTACAATCTGCTCTCAACTTTAAATTATCTGTACCTAAATATTGAACTGTTCATTACGGCTACGAATCCAAACAACATAAAAGCATACAAACCTGGAACAATCTCCCTTCCCAATTAAAATCTCTTAAATCATTCTCAAAACTTAAAACTGCTCTCTTTACCAACTTTTTAGAAAAATACTTTTTATAAATCTTATACCTTTTTACAACTTATTATTTATAACCCTAACGCAGTGCTTCTATTCATCTTTTATTTTTTCTCTTTTCTATCGTGATATATTACTAATTTTAATATCAATTATTAAATTTATTATTATTAACTGATGTTTCTATAGTATTCTCTTATCACTGTTGTTGTTATTATTACTATATTTTTATCATAATGAATATTATTGTAACTGTTATTATTATTGTTGTTATAATTTTTGTTGTTATTATTGCTATTATTATTGCTATTATTATTATTATTATTATTATTATTATTATTATTATTATTATTATTATTATCATTATTACTATAGTATATTCTTTTTATAATCACTACTATTAATTTTTTTATCACTATAATCACTACTATTACTTTTATTATTCCTACTTGTATTATAATTATTATTATTACTATCTCCATCTTATTTTTATTTAGTTTGACAGGCGTTTACTTTATATTAGTACAAATTACTATTTCTAAACATCCTTGATGTAACAACTTTATTCAGAATATATTTGATTTGAAACATCAAAAATTCTCAAACACCAAAAAATATGAATATATATATATATATACATATAAATATATATATACAAATAAATATAAAATATATACATAATATAAAAAATATATACATATAAATATAAAAATATATAAATACAAATAAATATTAAATAAATAAATATATATATACATATATATATATATATATATATATATATATATATATATATATATATATATATATATATACATATACATATATATATATATATATATATATATATATATATATATATATATATATATATATATATATATATATATATATATAAATATATATATATATATATATATATATATATATATATATATATATATATATATATATATATGCAAAATTATAAAAAAGACTTAATAAAGTTTAAAACTTTAAAGTTTAAAGATAAACAATTATAGGTATAACCCTATAACTCCTTTAACTATAACTTTAGTTATGGAACAACTTTAACTTTATCTGTCCTATAACTTTAGTTATTGAATTGTTTTAAAAAGTTGAAATAAAAAATTGATTAAACCTTATTTATCAAACTAATTTTTTTAATGTAAAATAGATATCATTATATTATTGATTAAATTATTATTAAGTTATCAAATTTTAAATCAATAACATTTTGTTTAATGAAAACTTACAGCTATTCAAAACTAGCAACCTGTTTATAGTAAAAAGCAAGCATACTTGTTTAATTCAACTTTCTTTTGATAACAAGTGGAAAAGTTGAAATCTTAACTAAGGATGAGAGTCTTTAATACTTTAAAACAATACTACACACCCATTTATTGACAAAATATTCCGCAATTTTCTCTTGTTACACTTCGGCTCCGATTTCTTTAGGGGTGTCCCGGATAGCATTTTTAATTTTATCCGGGTAAATAATAAATACCCGGATATTTAACAATGATCCGGCCAGACACGGATAATATAAGGTAAATATTACATCATAGTCATACTCTGGAAGCAAACAATAGCGCTGTGTTTATGTTTTTGTTCAAGAAATTACTCATTCTCATTCATCCGAAGGTGAACAGTAAACAAGGTAAGTACATGATTCCATAGCGTAAAGTTAGGTCCCGTAAAATGTTCCGCAATTGTCCCGCTTCACGTCCAGGACAGAGTTAACATAATTAATTTTTGCATTTATAATTTAATTTATGAAATAATTAATATTCTTTAAATGTGGAGCACGTTTTCACCTGGTTATCGTCGAAGATTAAATTTAAATTGATAAAAAAATTATTATTATAGATAATCATAATTTAAATTTATTAGAAAAAACAACATTGAGTAGAGGTAATACAAGACATTTTAACTTTTTTAGACAAAATATTTTAAATTTTGAATATAAAAAGCTTAAGTTGATGTTTGTTTTACTACTCGTTTAAAAACATTTCTCAGGAATGACATCCCTGAGAAATTTAAAAATTTAAAAACATTCCGAATGTTTTTAAACGAGTAATATAATATAAGCTTTTTATATTCATAATTTAAAATATTTTGTCTAAAAAGGAATTTTCTCTACAAGCACGCTTTAAATGAAATATCAATTTCCACGTTTGTATGGTTGTTACTGTTTAAATTTTTTTAGTTGTTATTTCTCAAGAAGGAAGTTGGGTTACTGTAGAAACATACGTTGAAGTACTTTTTTTAATACATAGCTACGAAACAGAGGCTGTATCAAAGTTAAGTTGCTAAAAACTGGAAATATGGTATGACAATTTTAATTAAGTGTTTTTAAAATGCAATTGCAAAATTTTAATTTTCTTTTAAAGTTGTTAAGTTATTACTTAAAATTTTTGTTGTTGTTGTTATCTTTAAAGATTCTTCTGCAAAACACCACAAAATAAGATGATTCAATATCATTTAATGGTACTCCCTTTATGGTTTTAGGATGTAAAGTGCTTGATTGTATGCACGGGAATGATAGAAAAGCCTCTTCCTAAGAATTTTATAAAGTTCTTTTATTATTATAATATGTTTTTCTTTATCAATTTGTTTCTAAAATAGCTCCTGTATTTAATGATTATATGTCTAAACCTTTTATTTTTGTTCTTTTGTCTAATTTTCTTAATAGGTATCAGATCACAGTTTAAAAAGCTATTTGCTATATTTAAATTTCTTGGTCACCAAGAAATTTAACTGTAATTTTCAAATAAAAATTTAGAAAGTTTAAAAGTTCCCAAGTTTTAAGGTTTTATTTCATTGTTTGTTTAATTTATATTATTGAAATGAGATTTAAGTCAGTCCTATTTTAACTATTAAGACATGCATGCATCAACTTAAAATATAACCAATTAATTTATGCTAATTCTTTTTAAAATAAACTTTGTTTTAGATTGCTAAGGATACTAAATTTAGAAGAGTGCAATTCTCAAACCGTATTAAAGATGCTTTGTCAAGAAATAAAGTAGTAAGGGAAAGAGTGTTTCCAGTTTGCTTTCCTTCAAAAAGTTCTCATACTGGTCATTATACTAGAGATGTAAGATTTCTTTTTTCTTTTTTGTGTAGATAAAGTTAAACAATAGATTTTAAAAGAAAAAAACATTAAAGAGTTATCCAAATTAATTTTCATTTCTTGTTTGCCTGTTTTAAACATCTTAAAGTTAGTTTATTGTTTCAAACATGTTATTTAACTTGTTTTGTCATATAACATTTATTAAATTTTAACATTTATATTAATATGTTTCCATTTATTTAAACCAACAACAATAAGGTTGTAGTAAATCTTAATTGCTATTTTTATTGCTGTTGTTTAAGAACTTTAGATTTAATATTGTTTAAAATATGTATAAACTTTCTTGTGTTCAGTATATTTAGTATATCATATTTAGTATCTTGATCCAGATTACTTAAGGGCTTAAATTTAAATGTCTGCTCCTAATGATGGTTTTGTTATATACTCGGTATGTTCTTATACTATTCCTAATATATGTAATATTGTTCATACAAACTTCAATATTTTCACCAGGGGTGGGTTTTGTCACTCACCAAGGAGGTGGCTAAAATGGTTTTTAAAAAAAAAGGTCCGCATTTTTTCACTTAAAAGTGACTTTCTTTAACTTTTTGTACTTTAGTGTAATAATCAAGTTCATATATGTATAATTACCTATAATAGTCAATTACCTATAATAGTCAATCCCAATGGGGGGCGGGGGCAACTACCCCCATGCCCACTCTAAAACTCGCCACTGATTTTCACAGTCTGCTGAAGCTATTAAGTGTATCAATGAAGAGAACTGATCTATCAATCATTTTTACTAGCAATCAATAAAATATCTCATTGGAAGTAGGAAGAAGGAAGCTTGTACTATTGTAAAATAAAATGATATCTGTTTCTGTAGCATTATATATATTGAAGTGTACTTTATCAAATTGCATGATTTCACATTTATCCTTATTAAAACTGATTAGCCTTTTTTTTTTTCCAGTTAAATAAGATGTCAAGATCAAACTGTGGAGAGTGATTTTTTTTTTTTTTTTTTCTAATTGAGTTATTTTCTAAATTTTCAAAATATTTTCAAAAATTTCAAATACTTCTTGGAATATGCATCTTAAATATGGAATTCATATTTTAATAAAGATATAATTTTTATCGAAAAAGTCCAACAAAAAGCCGCAAAAATTGGCTACAAAAGAAAGAGAGCAAGTTACGAGCAAAGATTAAAAGAAATGGGCTTACAAAATCTATCAAATAGAAGAGAAAACAGCGATCTCATTAAAATGTTTGAACCTATAAACAACCATGATATTATCAATTAGAACTGCGTTCCACAAGTATTGGGTAGGCTTACAGAGGCCACAATCAAAGGTCGAGAAGACATTTTGTTAAAAACGTTTTGTTGAGACCAATTTTTTTACAAACCATATACAGTGGGTTGCCAAATTATTTGGGACACTTCACTTTTTAAGTAATTTTAAAGTTTAAATGATTTTTGCAAGCAAATAATTTTTTTTAAATAAAAAGTTTTGAGTGTATTTTAGTCACTAATATAACTATAGTTGTTTTTAAACTGTGGCAATTTGTGATAACCCGATCTGTCAAAATGTTAGGTTATTACTCAATTAGCTGTCAATTTTTGAAAAGTGTGGTTGAAAGTCAAAAATTCAAAATTGATTTCAGTTACTTATTTTTGGAACAATTTTTTGCAAGTTTTTTGAGTTTAAAACTATTGAAACCTAAATATTCGTTAATAGTTCAATTAGTTTAGTTATTAATTTAGTATTTTTGCTACTTTTAATGCATAAATCCCTGACATACAACTATTCTTACCTCTCGTTATTTTTTTTAGTCTCCAGACTTAACCCAAAAAAAAAAACAGAAAAGTAAAAACCTTACTTCTTCATTCTACACATTCTCAGAGAGAGGTTGCAAGCGTTTCAAAGTCAGTAGTGAGTCGAATTTAAAAAAAAAAATGGTACAAATGTGACTCTAGAACCAGACCATGTCAGCAAAAGTGGCAGTAAAGGATCACTACTCCATGTTATGACCGTAAATTTAAAGACATCTGTCTTGAAAACAGAAAAAAAAGTGTGGCTCAACTAGCTATAATTATAAACAATGAAGGAATTAACGTCTCCAAAAGGACGGTTCAGGGACGGTTGGTTGAAGAGAATTTAGTGTGCTATCGTCCAACCAAAAAAAGAATGTTTAACTGAAGCCATGAAAAAAAAGCGACTGGAATGGGCTAGAAAACACCAGAATATGACTATTGAAGACTGGAGTAGAGTAAATATAATTTATAATATTGTAAGAAACCAGAAAAATTTAAGGGTAAATTTTTATTTTTGAAATATCTTTGATATATTTTGCAGGTCAAATATCTTTAAAATGTTTTACAGGTCTGCTTCTTGGGCCAATCAGCATTTCAAATTTTGATGGACAAAAGCTCATTTGTTCGACGATGCCCAGAAAAAATTTTCACTAGGACTGCCTTTTGGAAAAGGTTCAACATCCTGTGAGTGTAGGGGTGTGGTCTGTGATCTCAGCCAAGGGTATGGGCTGCCTTTACATTGTGGAAGGAACCATGAAGCAGGATTGATCCTGCCATATGGTTCCTTCTTACAAGCTATTACTGGAAACAGGCTCCTGCTCCAGGTCTAAGAATGGTTCCCTGGTAATGAAGAGTATATGTTCATGCATGACTCAGCACCGTCCCATAAAGCTAGAAGTGTTACAGCATTCCTAACTGAAAAAAAAGTGCATGTTTTGCCATGGCCAGGGAATTCACCTGATATTAACCCTATAGAAAATTTATGACAGTTCATAAAACAGAAAATTGCCAAAAAAATTATCACTACCAAGCAGCAATTGATAGAAACCCTTATAAGAGAGTGGAATAGCAACCACAGTCTCCAACACAATGCAGAAGTCTACATAGATAGCATGCCCAGATGCCTGAAAGCTGTTATTGTAGCTAAGGGTGGCATTACAAAATATTAAGATTATTACCTTATTTGTCATGTTTTCAAACTTTTTATAAAAAAATAAATAGCAATGAATAAGTAATTATGTTGTTTTATATTCTAAATAAAACTCTCTACCAATAAAAACAATAAAAAAAATAACAATAAGATACATATTTATTCATTAAAGTAGTTTGTACTTTAAAATTACTTAAAAAGTAAAGTGTCCCTAATAATTTGGCAACCCACTGTAGTTAAAAAGTGTAATTGTTTGCATAGAAAAGTTGTCAATGCCATTTCAGT